GGGGGGGGCGATTTTCGCCCTCGCAGACGTCTCAGGACTCTGGTGCATCCAATGCCCACAGAAGGCTCCATAGAGCTCGGGTCACTCACCACTGGCCTGGGTGTGTCATGCTTCCACCTGGCGTTTCATTGGCTGAGCCTATTGTCACTCTGCTGTGGAGCCTGTGGGGAGAGCTGCCTGCAGTGGCTGCCAGGACACCCCTTTATTCTCAGGGTGCAGCACTCGGGCCCTGCCTGCACTGGCAATTACACAGCAAAGCCTTTGTCCTCCAGAGTGAAACGCCTTGTCACGGCAAGTCCCAGTGTGGACAGCACGCTGTTGGCAGGAGGACACTGCTCACTGGGGGGTGAGAGTGTCTCGTTGGAAAAAAAGCCGACAAACAGCAGCTGCACTGCCCGACTCTGAGCCACGTGGCTGCGTCAGCGCGGCCGTGCTGCTGAGAGCTGCCCGACTCTGAGCCACGTGGCTGCGTCAGCGCGGCCGTGCTGCTGAGAGCTGCCCGACTCTGAGCCACGTGGCTGCGTCAGCGCGGCCGTGCTGCTGAGAGCTGCCCGACTCTGAGCCACGTGGCTGCGTCAGCGCGGCCGTGCTGCTGAGAGCTGCCCGACTCTGAGCCACGTGGCTGCGTCAGCGCGGCCGTGCTGCTGAGAGCTGCCCGACTCTGAGCCACGTGGCTGCGTCAGCGCGGCCGTGCTGCTGAGAGCTGCCCGACTCTGAGCCACGTGGCTGCGTCAGCGCGGCCGTGCTGCTGAGAGCTGCCCGACTCTGAGCCACGTGGCTGCGTCAGCGCGGCCGTGCTGCTGAGAGCTGCCCGACTCTGAGTCACGTGGCTATCAGTGCGGCCGTACTGCTGAGAGCTGCCCGACTCTGAGCCAGGTGGCTGCGTCAGCGCGGCCGTGCTGCTGAGAGCTGCCCGACTCTGAGCCAGGTGGCTGCGTCAGCGCGGCCGTGCTGCTGAGAGCTGCCCGACTCTGAGCCAGGTGGCTGCGTCAGCGCGGCCGTGCTGCTGAGAGCTGCCCGACTCTGAGCCAGGTGGCTGCGTCAGCGCGGCCGTGCTGCTGAGAGCTGCCCGACTCTGAGCCAGGTGGCTGCGTCAGCGCGGCCGTGCTGCTGAGAGCTGCCCGACTCTGAGCCAGGTGGCTGCGTCAGCGCGGCCGTGCTGCTGAGAGCTGCCCGACTCTGAGCCAGGTGGCTGCGTCAGCGCGGCCGTGCTGCTGAGAGCTGCCCGACTCTGAGCCAGGTGGCTGCGTCAGCGCGGCCGTGCTGCTGAGAGCTGCCCGACTCTGAGCCAGGTGGCTGCGTCAGCGCGGCCGTGCTGCTGAGAGCTGCCCGACTCTGAGCCAGGTGGCTGCGTCAGCGCGGCCGTGCTGCTGAGAGCTGCCCGACTCTGAGCCAGGTGGCTGCGTCAGCGCGGCCGTGCTGCTGAGAGCTGCCCGACTCAGTCACGTGGCTATCAATGCAGCCGTGCTGCTGAGAGCTGCCTGACTCCAAGCCACATGGCTGTGTCCGTGTGGCCATGCTGCTGAGAGCTGCGTCGTGGAGATGCTGTTAAGCTCTCTTTCACACTTCCTGCCCAATTCTAGGTCACACTCATGCCTCAAACACAGCACAGGTCCTGTGGATCAGGAGGCCATGTGTATCAATGCAGCCGTGCTGCTGAGAGCTGCCTGACTCCAAGCCACATGGCTGTGTCCGTGTGGCCATGCTGCTGAGAGCTGCGTCGTGGAGATGCTGTTAAGCTCTCTTTCACACTTCCTGCCCAATTCTAGGTCACACTCATGCCTCAAACACAGCACAGGTCCTGTGGATCAGGAGGCCATGTGTTCATGAATGGGGCATAACCCCTGTTCTAGACGGGGTTACTCTCCCCCTGAAGGAACAGGTGCGCAGCTTGGGAGTCCTCCTGGACTCTTGTTTAACATTTGAAAATCAGGTTTCTTCGGTGGTCAGGAGGGCCTCTGGGCAGCTGCGTTTGATCCGCCAGCTGCAACCCTTCCTGAACAAACATGACGTGGCCACAGTGATCCATGCGCTTGCTACATCCCGACTGGATTACTGTCATGCACTTTATGTGGGGCTGCCTCTAAAGAGCCTTCAGAAACTTCAGCTGGTCCAGAATGCGGCTGCTCGAGTTTTAACCAATACTAGTTATGCGGAGCACATTATGCCAGGGCTTCGGCAGCTGCCCTGGCTTCCGGTATGTTTCCGGGCACTATGTAAGGTTTTAGTTATGACCTATGAAGCCTTAAATGAGTTGGGTCCAGGGTATCTGAAGGACCGTCCTCTCCCATATGAACCTGCCCGGGGATTGAGGTCAGCGGGGGAGGCTTTGCTTCGTGTTCCCCCACTTGTGGAGATAAGATTAACATCTACACGGAACAGGGAGTTCTCAGCTTTTGCTCCCAGGCTGTGGAATTTTCTTCCTTAGGATAGTCGCATGGCGCCAATGCTAGCGTTGTTCCGGCGTCAGGTGAAAGCCACCCTTTTTACTTGCGCTTTTATTAACGTTTGAGTCTCTATGTGTGTGTTCCTCCTCTCTGTTTTCAGCTGGTTATGTCCCTCTGGGGTCTCGTATTTTAAAATGTTTATATATATTTGTATTTTTTGTTTCTTCTTGTAAGCCGCCTTGAATATTTTAAATAGAAAGGTGGGGTACAAATGTTTAAATAAAGAAATACATACATAAATATTAGGCAGAAGGCTGCCACGCTGGTGTACTCGTAGGCACCAGCACAGTAGCACACTCCCGTTACCAGCAGGAGAGGCATCGGGCATCACTTTAGTTTCTTTGTTTCTTACATGCTGAGGCCTCAGAGGGGGAGCTGGGATGGCTGCCACGCCCCGCTCAAGACGAGGGGAGCGAAGGGAGGCTGGCACCACAGGCCCTAGCAGTCTCCCCTGGGGATAGCAGCAGTCCCCACATTAGCCGTTTCACACAGATCAGGACAAAGCACAGACCAGCAGCTGCTCCCCAAGGTGCCCCACGCAACACCAGACAGGCCCTCGGACTCACCTTGTTCGCTTGACTCGAGTAGCTCCCTCTGTGGTGTGTTATGTAGTATGGAGGCGACGGCAGCCTGGGGAAAGGAACCACACCCATGTGACAATGGGCAAGTGCATCTGCACCATCGGTCACAAGCAAGACCTCGGGGGCCTGGCAGCCGAGGAAGAGACGTGTCTGCTGATCACTTTAACGAGAGCCCAAGAGCACCTGGGAAGCTCTGAAAGGAACCTGCGCCAAGCTCCACCTCCACTACTAGGGGGTTTTGCACAGAAGTAGGACCCTAGGTTCTTTCGCCAGCTGGTACTTTATGGGGAAAGAGGCAGATGGGAGTTTATTCGATACGCGTCACTACTCAGCTCTCCAAGCCGTGTGGATCGCTCAGGAGGTGGCTTTTGAGGGGATATCTTCTCTGGAAAAAAAAGAGTGTCCTTAACTCAGATTGGGTACCTGGGCCAAAACAGCAATGAAGACCCAACAATTTGGCTGACATGGGATAGCTGCTGGAGGTACAGCCCATAAGGGAGCTGGGGTTGACTCGAGCTGCTAAATTGTGTTAAAAATAGAGTTGCCGTCTCTTCACGGCTTATTGAAATGCGAGTGAGCAAACGTGAGCTAAGCACAGGAGGCTTTTAGAGGGCGGGGGTGGTGCCAGGCAGACGCGATTCTGGAAGCTGACTCCATCTGCCTTGCATAGTGTTCTGGTGCTGAGCACACTCACAGCGTTTGGCTATTTGCAGTAGTAGCCTCTCCACAGCTAAGACTAGAGACAGCTCCCTGGTCAGCCCGGTCCCTCCTCCTCTCCTCTCCATCCATCCCTGCCCAGCACTGCTGGGAAGCGCAAGAGGGGTGAGGAATCCCAGAGCTGCCGCCATGGCCAGCCGGAGGGACAAGCCATCCCAGACAAAGTGAGTTCCTGCCTTTTAGCTGTGACACAAGCACGGAGCCGACCCCTCAGAGACTCGCAGGCCACAGAACCTCACCCACCGCCTCCTTCTGGCAAGTCACTGGCCTGCTCGCGTCATGGTTCAAAGCCGCCCGCTGGTCTGCCTGCTTGGGCTCCGTTTACTCTACCTGAAGTGTGGCATTGCCCGGGCTTGTGCCCAAAGTTGCCTCCACCAGTTGGCACTCAGCCTGGTCCGGAGCAAACGAAGCATTCTCTGTGGGTGCCGCTCAGCTAACGTCCTCTGTGGGAGAAGGCGGAGGGTGAGCACAAGCCAGGGCATACACAGCCATTTAGCTCTGAATCGGAACCAGCTCCAGTCGAGACCATCACCAGGGGACCCGTGGTCCTTGTAAACAGCCTTCCCGGACCCCTCCTTTCGGGGCCTGATCGCAAACAGCCCCTACTTTCCCGCCTCCGTTCTACGGCTTGTATCGCCGATACAGGATCGTCACTCGCTCCCTTCCCCAAACTCGCCCAAATCCCGTAGTGGGCTTGGGACTTACCCCTAGACAGCCCCTGGGAAGGACACCTTGCCGAGGAGGCTGGCTCAGAGCCTCTTTGCTGCGGAATCTTGGTAAAGAAATGGTCACTCCTACAATGTGACATCATTGCTTCAGGGGTGACATCACTCAGGGCATTATGATGTCACCATTTGTCCTGTGTATTTTCCAAAACCATCCCGGGGACCCAACCAAGGATCAAGGCCCCATTGGCTGGGTGCGGCACAGGCGGGCAGGGCAGCCTCGATAGCCAGACACGTAGATGAGAGAAACGAGGGGAAATCCAGTAACAGCTACGCCAGCAAGACGGTCTCAGCAAGAAGCAGCAGCCTCACCGCATCACCTGCCTACTCACCGCAGGGAGAGGGGTAAGGAAGAGGACATTGCCGTGGCCCATCTCACTCCACCAACAACTCGGCCAGCTGCTCGGGGCACATTCGATGGCGGCGGGGGTCTGTCCATCAGGGAGAGCCTGGGCCTTCTCTCCGCGATGCTCCTCGAGCTGCGACGCGCAACCCAGGCTCGTGCGTGGGCTGCATGCGTGGCCCCTGACCCGTAGCATGCGTGGCCCCTGATCCGTAGCATGCGTGGCCCCTGACCCGTAGCAGCCCTGTGGTTGGATGCTGAGGGGGCGCACGGCTCTCCCGGTCCGTGCTGGGTGCGACCACACGCACCTCACTCCACGTGCCCGGGCTCCACCCGTGTCACTTTGGCGATACCCGTAGAAAAAACCTACCGAGAGGGGAACAGCAGAATCTGGCTACTCTGCACAGGGGCAACAGTAACGAAAGGTCTGTGAGCCACACACAGAACCTGCGAGGCCGCAGGCTGCCCATCACTGCCCTAGAGCAACTCCCCTGGGAACAACTGGCTGACAGTTCTGTAGTAACCGTCCAGGCTGGGCAACAACTGGGCCTGTGAGCCCTGGTCTCAGCAGACAGTTCATGTTTCTGGCCCACAGTCAGGCAGGGTAGCAGGCGTTAGGCCCTCTAATTTTTCTGTGCATGTGCGGAATACATGTTGTTATGGGCACCGACACATGTGCTGTTGTGCACCACCAGTAGAATCAAAACCTCTAGATAGAATACAGACTTTTAAAAAGTTCCCAAATGGATAATCACTCCAGCCAGGACAGGTTAGGCCTTGTAGAGCTCACTACCCAAAGAACTCCACTGAAGCGTAGGAGAAATGCATCAACCAGCCAAAATACCACAGTAACACACTTTGAAAGAATAAAATTACAGCGAGTACATGTGCATGGCAGGAAGGACCAGAAAGAAACAACAAGAACAGGAAAAGAGTTGGGTGGTGACACAGCGATGGTGGGTGTACGACAGACAGACTGAGTGTATGTGTGCACGCCAGCTGCTCCTGGGTAAGTTTCTGAGAAACCCCCTACAACACTGCAAGCTGTCCCGGCCCTGTGGTCTGCGCTCCCCGCTCTGCGGAGCTGGGGCATGGGGGGAGGAAGGGAGCGCGCCAGCTGTGAGCTGCACTCAGAGACAGAGCATGGCCCCTGTAGGAAAGGCAAGCGGTCACCCACTGCTCCCACTGCAGCAGCTCAGAGCTCTCCTGAGCCAGGCTGTGTCTCCCGCACCCCTGCCCTGCGGCGACGGGGTACAGGGGCGGGGCAGAGGAACACCCTGACAGCCCCCACACTCTGCACTGCAGGCGGGCGGGTCCCCCTGCAGCTGCTCAAACTGTTAGTAGGCTAAAGCATGCAGAATGTTATAGGGCTGCCAGGTGTTGGGTTTTGAACCGGACAGGCCAGTATTTGAGCTTCCTGTCCGGGACACAAAGGGAGACAATGGAACGGAGACAATGGAACGGAGACAATGGAACTGCCCGGTGTTTTCTACGCAAGATGGAATGTCGATTGGGATGGAATGCCAAGGGTGTCCGGGATTTTGGTTGAAACCACCTGGCCGCCCTCGGTCACGCGGGAGGCAGCAAGTCTGTAGGCCCCAGGCCCTCGCTCGGGCCGGGGCCGCACTGGGCCAGGCTGGGGCCTGCAGCCGGCTGAGCTGAAGTACGTGTGCCTGCCCAGACCAGGCCGTGGCCTTCGTCAGGAACAGCTACGCGCAGCCGGGGGCAGGGATTAGCTCCCTGGCAAGAGGCAGGGCCCTGGGCCACACGGTGGGCAGGCTGCAGCCCCAGGGCAGAGACGCAGGCCCACCCACTCCATGTGGGGCCCTAGCCGTGGAGGGTGATCTGCCTCTGGCCCGCAGGGAAATCCGGTCCCAGCATGCTGCCCAGCTTCCCTGGGCTCCTTCCACACCCCTGCCAGGGGCCCTGGGCTGGGCTGCAGCTCACCTGGCTGGGCAGGCGGCTCGTGTCCGGGCCCCTGGCAACGGAGCAGCCTCCTCCCGGCCGGGCCCCACCAGCAGCAGGAGCCGTCCTGCTCCTCTGAACTATAAGGCCGGTTCCTGTCCTGCCCCCCTACCCCGGCGGGGCGGGCGCAGGTACCCGGCTCTACTCACCAGGGGGAGGTGGTGGTTCTCTCCCCTTCCGTCGGTGAGGGAGCCTGGCCCAGGCCCTCTCATCGCAGTGCCCCACTGCACACCCCCTCGCTGCGCAACCAAGGCCCGAACTCCCCAGACATTGTGTGCGACGAACAGCCCACCGAATGGGGGTTGAGAACAAGCCCAATGAGGGTGGTCAGCACTGCAGGGCTTATCTCGAAATAAGCGATGCAAATCGAGCTATGTCATTTGCGAATCTTATTTCGAAATAGGGAGCGTCTGCACAGCACTCATTTCGAAGTGGAGCGCTCTTCCTCCGACTGCCCTTCCTCCTCGTACAACGAGCGTTACAGGAGTCGGAGTAAGGAGTCTTCCAGCTTGACAGTATTCTGACACCATTTCGAAATAACGGCCTGCTGCGTAGACACGGGCTAAGCTATTTCAGAATGGCGCTAGTTATTTCGGAATAGTGTGGCAGTGTAGACGTACCCTGATCGTACCAGTCCAGGACGGGTGTGAGAAATGAGCCCCAGCTGGTTTGCTCTGCAGGTGGATTATTCCCTCTGAGGATGTGCATATTCCTGCGCATCCAGAAATATAATCTATGCTATCATGTGCTGAAAGTGTCCGTCTGCTATGTACACTGGACAAATGTCTCAGACACTTCGCCAAAGGATCAATGCCCACAAAACAGACATTAGACAGGATCACAAAGAAAAAACAGTTTCTTGCCATTTCAACCAGCAAAGACATTGTTTCAACGACTTGATTACCTGCATCCTGCTTCAACGGCCTTTTCAGACCACACTTGAAAGAGAATCCTCTGAACTGTCATTCATGCTTAAATTCGACACTTTACACTTAAGTTTGAATAAAGACTCTAATTATCTGACCCATTACAAAGATAGCTTCCCCAATTGTCACCTCTAATATCATGAGCTCACAGACATTTACCTCCCCCCCCATCCCCCTTCTGTTCTGAGATTTGATTTGTCCTTTTCATAGGTGTTCATTTTTTTTAAATTGTATCCTTTGGTATATATGGTTGTGACTATTTTCTTCCTCTATTTGATCTGAGGAAGTGGGTCTGGCCCACGAAAGCTCATCACCTTATAAACCATCTTGTTAGTCTTTAAAGTGCTACATAGTCCTGGTTTTTGTTTCACAAGGGAAGGCACCGAATCTTGGGGAAAGAGAGAAGGGATACAGCGAATACCGTAAAATCTCGAGTATAATGCGCACTTTTTTCCGATTTTTTCTGGGTCAAAGTCAGGGTGCGCATTATACATAGCAGTTATTTTTGGCTCCCGGACAAGGCGAAGAGCTGGTGGCGCCACCAGGCTGCAGTGCCCTGACTCCTTCAGGCTGCGCCCGGGGGCCCCCGCAGCAGGCTGGGAGTGGAGAGCGAGCCGCAGAGTGCACCGCCCCCTGGGCGCAGCAGGGCACAAGAGGAGAAGGCAGCAAAGCACTCTTCCGAGGGCCCAGCATGTCCTGGCCCGGGGTGTCCTGGCTGGGCCGTCCCCCTAGGCTGTGGGGCTGGTGGAGCTGCCACTTGGAGGGGCTCTTGGAGGAGGTAGCTGTGCCCGGACCCCCCGCGGCAGGCGCGAACTTGGCGCGGCGCACGGACAGCCTGGGGCCGGCTCCAGGAAGCGGGCAAGGCTGGGCTTGGTGCTGGTGGACCTGTTGGCAGGAGGGTAGATATATAGGTGTGCATTATATATAGGAGTTCAGTTTTTTCCATGATTCTGACATTGAAAAGGTAGGGTGTGCATTATACTCGCGATTTTACGGTATATGGTGGCCTTGGTTATCAGTGTGTACCGCTCAAATTCACTGATATGAAATTCACTCATATCACTCAATTAAAAACAAAAAGTTAGAAGACCCAAAAAATGTCATCAAGACAGAGTAAAAGAGGAGGCGAAAGGCAAAAAGGCATCTTTAAAACATCGGAAGTCAGGTCCTACTGAGGAAAATAGAACAGAGCTTAAATTCCTGCAACTCAAATGTACAAGTACAATAAGACAGGCCAAGAAAGAATCGGGAGGGCAACTGTCTAAGGACACAAAAAATAACAGCAAATTGGTTAAATCCATCAAAGCAGGAAGCCTGCCAGTTAGCAGGGCCACTGGCTGAAAAAGATGCTAAAGGAGCACTCCAGGAAGACAAAGCCCATGCAGAGATGCTAAATGAATTCTTCGCATCAGTCTTCATTGCAGAGGATGTGGGGGAGATTCCAACACCAAGTCATTCTTTTTAGGAGACAAATGTGCGGAACTGGCTCAGAGGGAGATGTTCATGGAAGAGGTTTTGGAACAAATTAGTAAAGGAAATAGTAGTAAGTCACTAGGAGCAGATAGTATTCACCCAAGAGTTCTGAAGGAGTCAAATATTAAACTGCAGAACAACGAATTGCAGTATGTTCCCAAGGGATAGTCATTTTAATCTGTCTCAGTAAAAACAGCGAGAAGTCCTCTGGCACCTTAAAGACCAGCAAATGTATTTTGTTAATTTTGAAGGCGCCGCAGGACTCCTTGGGTTTTCTACATTGTAGTAGGTAACCCACACTTAAATCTGCCTCTCTGTCAGGTGACTGGGGGGAAGCTAATGTAATGCCTACTGTTAAAGAGGAAATC